TGAACTTGCAGGGTTCATATGGGGAAAGGTGTACTTCTAAAATACCCAGTTCCCAAGCCATATAGGGCTTTAAAGCAGATATAAGGAACCTATAGCCTTCTGGACATAGTTGGACACCTATCAGCCCCAGACATCATAGTCAAAGATTGGGGGTGATGGAAGTTGTATCCCAGCAAGAGCTAAAGCTCCACAGGTGCATGCAGATCTCCTACAAAACGACACTTGGCTCTAGTGTCATCTTGGCGGTAGCGGTTGGTTTTTAATTCTTCCTCCTTTGCTTTTAGCTTGTCAGAGTTAGAAACAGATCTTAAAGTTTTCAAAGAGACACTCCTGGAAATCTTAGACGAGGAAGAAGTGCTGGAAGAACTGTGCCTGTCTAAATGGACAGACCCCCAAGTATTGTAAGTAGACATTGGGATGCTTACGTTGGGCAAGGCTTTTGTATTCGAGGACTATGTATGGGATTAGCCAAATAAACATGGTGAAAGTTTGGGTATAGGAAGCGGCATTTCCTGCATCTCTCTAAACCATTTAGATGTCTTTTTTCCTAGCATTTCGTTTCGGGAGAGGACTAGCCACACAGAATGCTGCTGCTTTTGTAAGAACAGACATGCCAACAAGTGCTATGGTGGCGCCAAGTTGCAAAAAAAAAGTTTTGTCAGCAGCCTAGGTGGTATGGCAACTATTGCAATTGTGGACTAAATATTTTATTTCTTAAAAGTAACTTTACAGCCAGTTATAGGCTATCAGCTGCTTCAGTTTGTTGAACAGATACTCTATATATTATGAGCTTTGGTTTAAATTGCTTTGTATGGTGTGCCGACACCAAAGGCTAGGAATCAGGGTGGGAGATGAATTTTGGTCTAGGCTTCCACTTGGGAGGGTATTAGCTTGCAGATTTTTGGTATGCTGGCATTTTAATTAGATCTATTATTGTTATTAGACGGGACGCAGGTGGCGCTGTGGGTAAAAGCCTCAGCGCCTAGGGCTTGCCGATCGAAAGGTCGGCAGTTCGAATCCCTGCGGCGGGGTGCGCTCCCGTCGTTCGGTCCCAGCGCCTGCCAACCTAGCAGTTCGAAAGCACCCCCAGGTGCAAGTAGATAAATAGGGACCGCTTACTGGCGGGAAGGTAAACGGCGTTCCGTGTGCTGCGCTGGCTCGCCAGAGCAGCTTCGTCACGCTGGCCACGTGACCCGGAAGTGTCTGCGGACAGCGCTGGCCCCCGGCCTCTTGAGTGAGATGGGCGCACAACCCTAGAGTCTGGCAAGACTGGCCCGTACGGGCAGGGGTACCTTTACCTTTACCTTTATTATTGTTATTATTCACAGTGAGGAGAGTCTGTCTGGAATTGACCATGCGGAAGAGATGGAGCTGCTCTTGGAGAATTATTACAGGCAGGCAGAAGATCTTCTCAATGATGCTCGTGAGCTTCGGGTATTGATTGATGATTCTGAAAGCATCATCTTTATCAACTTAGACAGGTTAGCTGCACGTAACATTCTGCTCACTACAATTTTAGATGCACCTTCTGGAGGGCATTTGAAACTTGAGCTCGGTGGTGTTTATGTTTATGAAGCTTCCCTTCTTATCAAGCAGAACAGATGAGTTGAATTCTATGCCGATAAAATGTGTTTTGTTATTTCATTAAATCTGAAGTAACTCCATGTGTTCTAATCTGAATTCCCAGACCTGTCTGGGTTCTGGATGAAAAAGAGCTAGACTCTTCCGAGATCCTCGGATCTGCGAAATACTAACTAGCCTTTCGCTCCTCTTTAGCCACCGCAATGTGATGATGAGGCTGAACTTGCAGCTGACCATGGGCACTTTCTCCCTCTCCCTCTTCGGATTGATAGGAGTAGCTTTCGGCATGAACTTGGAATCCTCATTCGAAGAGGTAAGGCACTGTTGAAATAAAAGTTTCATTTTTCTCTTATGAAGCCACACACAGTTCCCAATTCTGATTGTATACGAATCGCATGAGATATACCATTCATTCTGGATGTGCAACTTCTCATCTACATCCATATCAAATAGGAAGGTGAAGCCTTGTGCCTAGTAATCAGTGTTTATCTGTAGACTACTCACATCTTTAGGAAACAGTTGGAGATAGTTCTCTTTAATTGGGCTTTAAAATTGCATTGTTTTATTAGTGCGCAGTAAGGGACGCGGGTGGCACTGTGGGTTAAAGCCTCAGGGCCTAGGACTTGCCGATCGAAAGGTCGGCGGTTCGAATCCCCGTGGCGGGGTGCGCTCCTGCTGCTCGGTCCCAGCGCCTGCCAACCGAGCAGTTCGAAAGCACCCCCGGGTGCAAGTAGATAAATAGGGACTGCTTTCTAGCGGGAAGGTAAACGGCGTTTCCGTGTGCGGCTCTGGCTTGCCAGATGCAGCTTCGTCACGCTGGTCACGTGACCCGGAAGTGTCTCCGGACAGCGCTGGCCCCCGGCCTATAGAGTGAGATGGGCGCACAACCCTAGAGTCTGGCAAGACTGGCCCGTATGGGCAGGGGTACCTTTACCTTTACCTTTATTAGTGCGCAGTATCCTTATGCATTTCATAAAGTGTTTCAGCTTTACAAGTGAGTGAACTAGATCAAATGCATAGCAGACTGAAAGGTTTGCCTGGGGTCTAAAAACACAGAAGTTCAGTACAATCTACTGTGACTTATTTTGGGGGCGCTTGTCTAAAGAAAGGAACTTCCCAGCTCCTTTTCGGCACTTGACCATCTCCCCGCCCCGCCCCGCCCTTGTTGTTCAGCAAAATCTCTGGCTAGTTTGGGAGCTTCAGCCTAGGGGAGAGGAGAGGAACCCGCCATTGTGGGGGGCGGACCCCACTGTCAATCAGGGGACAGTACCCATAGCCCGGGACGCGGGTGGCGCTGTGGGTTAAACCACAGAGCCTAGGACTTGCCGATCAGAACGTCAGCGGTTCGAATCCCCACGATGGGGTGAGCTCCCGTTGCTCGGTCCCTGCTCCTGCCAACCTAACAGTTCGAAAGCACGTCAAAGTGCAAGTAGATAAATAGGTACCGCTCTGGCGGGAAGGTAAACGGCGTTTCCGTGCACTGCTCTGGTTCACCAGAAGCGGCTTAGTCATGCTGGCCACATGACCCGGAAGCTGTACCCCAGCTCCCTCGGCCAATAAAGCGAGATGAGCACCGCAACCCCAGAGTCGGTCACAACTGGACCTAATGGTCAGGGGTCCCTTTACCTTTACTTTTACCCATACCCCCACATTAAGCCTTGAATGCAAATTTGCTTGTAAATCCAGCTGTCAGGCTGTGCATTAAGGTCTCTTCCCAACTGCCCTCAGCTGGAACAAGTGTAATCTTGGGGGATAGCTTGCTTTTTCAAAGTGGTGAAAATAAGACAACGTGATATTTGAAGAGTTGCGATTTCTCTGAAAGAATGATTTGCATCGTTAACTATACATTTCAACTTTACCTAGGACCGCAGAATGTTTTGGCTGGTGACAGGAATTATGTTTCTGGGCAGCGGCCTAATTTGGCGGCGTCTGCTTTCCTTTCTTGGGCGACATCTGGAACCTCCAATGCCTCCACCAGTGAGTAGGACCTTTCTGAAAGTTACACTGTGCCACCACCTTCGCCTCTCCCCAATTTGCCAGTTTCTCAGACTCTTCCCTGTGCATGTCTGCAAAGAAGCAGCCAGAGGCCGAAGTGTGAAACAGTGTTCACCTTGAAGTGACTAGAATAGAGTCTGCAGTAAATAAGGGGTAAAATTCCAAGTCTTGATGCCTGCTCTGCCTGGAGAGCCGTGGGAATTCCCTGTCACTTCACTTCTCGCAGTGAGGGAACCACCAGAAGAGCAGCATCCAGACTGAATGACAGGGATGGAGGCACTCCTTCAGGTATACAGGACCAAAGACATTTAGGGCTTTAAAGGTCACTTTGAACTGTGCTCAGAAACGTACTAAAAGCCAATGTATGTGGTATTTTGGGACCGGTGTTATATGGTCCCGGCAGCCGCTCCCAGTCACCAGTCCAGCTGCCGCATTCTGAATTAGTTATAGTTTCCAAGTCACCTTTCAAGGTAACACCACCGAAGATTTCCTTTAGTGGATTTCAGAGTTCTTTTGTGCTGACTACTGGATTGTTTTCCCATCCTACCTCTTCTTCTTCTTCTCCCACAGATCCCAGCTCTGCTGAAAAGAACTCAGCCAGCAAATGGGAAGGTGGAATTTAAAAGCGATATTAAAACAGAACCCCTTGGGTCAAGTAGAAGCACACTGACTAACCACTGACCGGACCTCAGTACTGGTAGACCTGCAATAACTGAACTTTAGACTGTGTTCTCTTGTAATAATGTAGCAGGGATTTATCCTTTGACACTTAATGACATGCCAAAGATGTGCAGCTGAGACCACCCAAACCTGAAGCTTTGCCAAGAGAAGAGTCCAGTTGACTTTTGTGCACCGCGATAGCAAATCAGAATTCCACAAGTCAGCTGGATGAGCTGAAGGTGCTTTTCATCTGATGTCTCCTGCGGGAAATTCCGTTTGGTGTAATCTTTACGGAACACAAGAAAATGGGTAATAATAATTTCCTCCCTCCAAAGAATGCAAAATCCAATCCAGAAATCTTACTGTATGTTCCGTAAACGGTGGTTTTCACACTTTATCACTTCATGGGTAAAGTTTATAGATTAGGGGAAATGTGGCCATCCATACCGTCCTTAAACAGTATGCTTCCTGTATGTAGAGAGTTATGTTTTTAAGATTAGACGATTTCATGCGAGAGAGGGCTACCAGTGGCTGCTAGCCATGCAGTGCTTCCGAATGCCAGTTGCTGGAAACTACAGGAAGGGAGAGTTGTTCCTGTGCTCACGTTCCGCTTGCTGGTTTCCCACAGGCATCTGGTTGGCCACTGTGAGAACAGGATGCTGGACTAGATGGGCCGTTAGCCTGATCTAGCAGGGCTTTTCTTATATATAGGTATATATATATATACCTACCTTTTACCATAAGGTCCCAGGGCAGATTGCAACTATGTAAAATTCATTTTAAGAACAGTTTAGAAAACAAATCACAGTGGAATAGGGTGGGTCCTATTGCAGAGATTAAAGGTGGGGAGGGGAGGATAACGCACACAGCCTTGAACTCTTGCGCGGGAAAGCAAGGTCCAAATATATAATGATGTTCACAGCAGCCCTCTTTAATGCCAGCATTTCATAGTTCTGCTATTTAAATAATAATAATAATAATAATAATAATAATAATAATAATAATAATTGTACCCCGCCCTCCCCAGCCGGACCTGGGCTCAGAGCGGCTAACATCATATAAATAATACAATATGCAAAACCAAAATAAAGTGTTTGGCAACCCTGATAAAAAAAGCAAATAATAATAGTAATAATAATACTTCTTAATTTATGCACAGTTTCACAACTTTAGTGTCTGAACTACCAAAACTAGGCTGTTGTGAGACAGCCTAGCCTGTCTCACAACAGGGCTGTTGTGAAGATAAAAGGGGGAAGACAACAGGCAACAAATGTGTGTAATTTTACAACTCTCAGAAAAACATACACATAACCTTAGTAAACAAAAAAGTGTTCCTATTAAAAGTACAGTCTATAGGAATTTTAACTTGATGCAAGCTGTAAGGTATTTGCTGATTCATTTTGGTACTTTATATTTTTGATTATGGTTGCTGTATATTAATAAATAACACTCCAGTGATGAAAAGCAAATCAATGGATGGGGGAACATGGAAAACCAGGGTGGGGAGAGATTGCAATAGCACCATTCTTTTCTCAAAAAGAAGGAACCCTCGTTTATTTAAAGGGGATTACTTTTCAGCAAAATACACCCAAGCCAGCAGCTTGTGTTTTCCTCTGTAAAGGCAGCACATTTGGGAAGTGAATGAAATCATGTGGATGGGGAGGGTACTTCAACAAACATACACCTGAGTCCCAAGTGAGAATGATCAGCATTTCTTCTTCAGATTGCTTACCAACGGTGAATAAGCATTCTTAGCAGTGGTGCAGCCTGCGAAGTACTGAAGCCTTAGAAATGCCTCTGCGCGTTGCCTTCTAACTTTCTTCAGACATGGCCAATTGCCCTATGTTTCTTTTTCTTTTTTTAAATTTTAAAAAAATGTAAGCGACGGGGGCGCTGTTGGCTCAGGGCCTGTTATGTGTGTACCCGCTGAACCTCATCAGAACCCCCAATCCTACAAAACCAGGGAGAAGAGCCATCAATCCCGAGACTTCTGTTGAAAGCAAAGCAGCAAAACCGGAAGAAACTTCAATCTGTGGCACAGTTAGTAGTTTACCTTCTAACTTTCTGATAACATCTAGAATGATGGCAAAGTTCAGAATGAATGTGAAATACCACTCAAAGGGGAATATCTGTTTTTATTATGTTGCACATGGGATAAGGTGAAGAAGAAAAAAATCAAGACAGCACATTCATTAATCATTAGCCTTAAATAGCACAGAGAGAATCTGGATAAGTTTGTCATTATATTACATTTGATTAAATAGGAAGCAGCCTTTGCACCAACCAGCTTGCACTATTCGTTCATCTAGCCCAGTATTGACTGCGTTCTGCCAGGGTCCTGTTACAAGATCCTTTTAATTGGAGCTACCAAGAATCACACTTGAGACCTTTTGAGCTACAGAAGCTATTTAAATAGGTGTAGAAGCTGAGTGAATCTCAAGTAGCTAATATTTCTTTTGGGTCAGCTTCTAAATCCTGAATTTACCATGCAGTTGTGTGCAATTCCATGCATGAAGGTTTTCTTAATACTATATATAAAAAAGTGTTACATGCTTGCTACTGGCTTTACCTAGGACTCGGAAGTACCATGGCCTGTAGTTTCAGTTGCACTCCTACGCACCTAAGAATTAAGTCCCATTGGACTTGACTAGAAGGTGACAGCAGCCACGAAATTAAAAGACGCCTGCTTCTTGGGAGAAGGGCAATGACAGGCCTAGACAGCATCTTGAGAAGTAGAGACATCACCTTGCCAACAAAGGTCCGTATAGTTAAAGCCATGGTTTTCCCAGTAGTGATGTATGGAAGTGAGAGCTAGACCATAAAGAAGGCTGATCGCCGAAGAATTGATGCTTTTGAATTATGGTGCTGGAGGAGACTCTTGAGAGTCCCATGGACTGCAAGAAGATCAAACGCATCCATTCTTAAGGAAATCAGCCCTGAGTGCTCACTGGAAGGACAGATCGTGAAGCTGAGGCTCCAGTACTTTGGCCACCTCAAGAGAAGACTCCCTGGAGAAGACACTGATGCTGGGAAATATGGAGGGCACAAGGAGAAGGGGGCGACAGAGGAGAAGATGGTTGGATAGTGTTTTCGAGGTTACCAGCATGAGTTTGACCAAACTGCGGGAGGTAGTGGAGGACAGAGGTGCCTGGTGTGCTCTGGTCCATGGGGTCACGAAGAGTCGGACACGACTAAACAACAACAAAGAAGGAAGAGGCATCTTACTGGCTGGTGGACAGAATCCTAACAGGAGAGCACATTAAATCATCACCCATTAGCCCATTAGACATCAGTGATATTCAAGGTTGAACAACTGCTCATGCTGCCATGTAGATGTTAGTAACTCAGCATGGGCGATTTATGTTTTGGCAGAAGAGGGATAAAAATGCAATTCCACTTCTTTTCAGACAGATGTATCTGAGTCCGGCCTAATTTGAGACGAAGAGGTCCCACTTCCAAGTACAGGTTAAAGAAGTGGTTCATTTCAAATCAAGGTTGGAATCAGTAGCGAGGCTTGGGGAAATGTGCTCTTGCCAAACTCTCTTCTGTGCAACTTCACGTTTTCAATGGGGCTTCCTTCTTCAATCTACTCCATTGCAGGGTATATTGCAATAAATACTTTAAAAATAGGCCTCTGTGTATGCACAACGCATGTAAACAGTTGAAAGCAGCTAATGGTCTGAAGCAATGACATTTTGTTTTTAGAAGGATTTCCATTCATTATTACGCTTAGCAAGGAAATTTAAACACAGTAATAAGTAATTTTAGATCTCTGCTTCCATTCCTTAAAATGTTAATGCTGTTCAATTGCCAGTTAAATAGTACGTGAGTTATGCTTCTACATTTTCAAAAGGGGCAGAATTTTACAAAAGTGAAGAGTGATTTGCTGAAAAGAGGCTTGGTGGGGAAGCATGGCAATTAAAAGGTGTAGAGAAAAAGTCTGCCGCTTAGCCGAGCTTCTAGGGAGCTTCTCTCACCTGCTACTACAACTTCAGTCTGCAAAGACAGAAAGTATCCATTAATACAACAGAATTCAGTTCCTTGCTTTTTTCTTCTTCTTTTTAGCGGGTCATTTTGCCAGGGCAAAACAGATTACCCCTGTGTACAACTGGGCACCATGCATAAGGAAGTCAAGTGATTATGCTTCCCACCTTCACCATAGTGGGGTGGTCTCAAGGAAGTTGTGGAACCGTCTTGGTTCTAAGCTACTTCCCTATGGTTGTGTTGCAGGAAAAAAGCAGGCAAGGCATGGCCTCTTACCCAGCTGGCATAGGAGAAACACTCAAGTTATCACAAGTAGCCCATGATTCACCCTGCAGATGGGCTTGTGAAAACCAGCAGTGCTCGTTTGCCTACCTTTTCTCCAGATTTCACTGTGATCACAGCACTCCCAAATCTTGATTTTTCCTGCAACAATAAAACTATGGTTATGCACTGTTTGACAGTGTTAATGCTTGCTTTCTTCACTATAGTTATTTTCATTAACGGATCATCTTTAACACAACTCAATTCCCATAAGCAGGGTCACCACCACCCGCTTCTCTGGCAACAGATCACCAGTGCAATAATCCCAGCTAGTATTTGCTACAACCAGAGAACAAGTGCAATGCTGTGAGCATGCTTGTTCAGGATGCAAAGATACCTACTGAACAAACCGCTCCATGTCATTTGTGTGAATGATGAAAACCATATGCTATATACAGCAAGAGGAAAAACAGCTTAGGTCTGCAGTCAATTGGAAACTTTACAGCTAACCTTATCATGCTCAACCTGATCCTAACCATGTTTGCTTAGCCGCAGATCCTTTGAAATTCAGTGAAATATAAATCTGCTTGGGAATGGACCCTAAGTTTTCTCAAGTGAAATTTGGGGTGATGGTTCAGTTTCCAAACCATTTAGCATCCTGTCCCTAATTGTGACATTGTAATCTTCTTCAGATGAAGATCCTTCCTGACCCCATTGAGTCAGAAATAGAAATTACAAGATATCCTTCATGAATCAATCCAACTGTGTTTTGAACCAAGCAAGGAAGTTTTTTGTTCACATGGTTTCAGTTTTAATGGTTAAAACTGGTTAAAATGCATTAAGGACCCAATTGTTAGCCATTAATTCTACCCACAATTTATTTAGCCCAAGCAGCAATTTATCCTTTCAGAGTTTGGTTGCTCACCTCAGGAGAAATGATGACATACTGCGCCTGGAACAGAAAAAAGAGAGAGACTCACTTTTACATTGGTTTTTAAAGGTGGATAAATCAATTAAATGTATGGTATCTAGCGTTTGCTCCACTGAGAATTATTTCAATACAGAAACACAGAAGTCAACTACTATGATGCAGATGTTCATAAACTGCTGAGCAGGAGCAACATGAGAGTTTTCAAATGCAAACAGTTATTACAGTGGTACCTCTGGTTACGAATGCTTCAGGTTACGAGTTCCATTAACCCGGAAGTAGCTGCCCCTGGTTGCAAACTTTGCACCAGGATGTGAACGGAAATCGTGTGCCTCCAGCACGCGCGCAGCGGGAGGCCCATTAGCGAAAGCGTGCTTCAGGATAAGAACGGTTTTAGCTTAAGAACCGACCTCCAGAACGAATTAAGTTCGTAACCAGAGGTACCTCTGTACTTTTGTTTATCTACCAAAGCAGACACCACCACAAAGACCTATAGCATTTGCTGTAGCATTACCCAGTCTTCAGGACAAGGTGAAGTCCATGATTTGCAGTTGTCTGTCACATGTCCAGAGGTGGTCTGGTTTCCACTAAATATGTAAACACGCGCAGCCTCTCCTCCAAACAGCCCAGATAAGATGTCTTTTGCTCGAAGAGGTGAGGTCACAATGATCTCATCTGCAAAAATTCGCAGCAGGGGGAAATATGTCACATTGTAAAATGAGACAAAAACTAACTTGCACTGGATATCCCTGTGCAAAAGCTTTGGCCTTTAAAAACCTCATTGGACGCAGGCATACACAAACTTGGGAACACAATTACCAGACATATACAAGCCTGCTTTGTGTCTTCTGCTTCCACTATGGCTCCGCCGGATCCAAACCCATGTTGCTCCATGACAAACACCATGGTGACACAAATAATATGCCTGGTTTAAAATAGGCATACCTAGCGCCAATGTGTTTTTGGATTTTCTCTATGTCCAGGCATTTGTAAGTGGTATGGTGTCTGCCACAGACAAATGCAATGAGCAATGGAAACTATCGCTCCATATTGCATGTGAAGCAGGCCTTAGCCTACAGACAATAATGCAGCCAACAAGCCACAAGCAGGTGAATATGTGTTTATTTTCCTCTCTCTTAATCCCGCCCTCCTTTACTGTAGGAGTGACTAATGTTTTTTGGTCCATGAGTCATCTTAGTTTTTGGCCACTCCACATACATTTTTGTACACACGTAGAGATCACGGACACAGAACACAGCACCCACTCCCTGTCCCATTTGATCCAAACAGATCAACTGAGGATTGAGGTTGCCACTTTGTTCACACTCATCCGATAGGATGAATACAGAGGAGGCAATTTGCATCCCCATCAGGATGCTGGTCCTGGTAGAGAAATTCAAACCTCTCAGTCCACCCCAGCATCATTCTAACTCCCCACCCCACCCCAGCCATTTTGCTGCCACCACCAAAATTTGTGGATTTGGGGGTAATAAAATAATGTTTGGGGGACCTGGTCTGGTCAGGCTCAAGGGCTGTGAGTTCACTACCCTTGCTAGACTTCTAATCTTCTTTAGAATTTCTGTCTGAGATCACCCATTTAATGTTCCCCACTAGAGTGCATGGAGCATCTTTTGACCCTAAAATTCTTGGTGCTGGCCCAGGCTTGCAAGTACACTTGTATTTTGGCCTCTTTATTTGGATTTCTCTGCTTCTTTCCCTTTTTCTTTACTTTGTTCTAAATCAAGCTCATTTGTTCGATCTGGCCTTTCCTTCTATATATGCATAAGGCTGTTAAAATTCTTGGTTCAGAATTTATTGTTTCATGCTTCCTCTTTGTCCCCTTATTTCACCCTTCCTGTTCTTTTATATATTTGTATATATATATATCACATCTCACAACATCTAGTAATTCTAGGTGCTTCACAAATGAAATATGATACTGATTATGAGGATTGCGTTTTTACCAAGTCCATCATTGTTTAGGTCACGTAGGTGCACATCTCCTCCGAAGCGTGAAAATCTCCTGTCCCCGCTGAAAGTGCTCAGCAGAAATGGCTTGACAGGGTCCCTCAAATCATAGATCAAAGCAGTTCCTGCTTGGTGTAGCACTGAGCTTATAAATGCAATCCTAGATGTGCTGTCTGAAAGAAGCCAAGCAAGATGACGGGGGTCACATTGCTGTTCCTGGGAGATGGCAACAATAATTGGCATTAACAGATGGGCACTGTCTACGGCAGGTTATAACCAGAATTAACAGCAAGGAAACTTGGGCTCCGCCATCTCCATTTTGTGAAATTACACATTAACTTCGCAATGACAACAAAGGGTCCGCTCTCAAAATCATAACGTCAGCAACATTCCCAATCCAACGTAGATGATATTTCTTCATCTGGAAGCAGCAGTGGAGCTATAGCTCAGTGAGAAAGTGAATGTTCTGTATGCCTGAGGTCACCCACATTAAAGGAGTTCAGGAAGCAGGGCTGAACAAGACTCAGGAGAGTTTTAAAACTAAGTCATGGACAAGGTGAACCAATGGTCTGATTCGCTGCAGAGCAGTTTGATGCGTACTAAACCCAACCCAATATAGTCTTCACTTTCACATGATATTGGGCATATGTGGCCCTCCCATAGCAATAGGGGATTCCTGTACACCAGGCATAGGCAAACTCTGGCCCGCCAGATATTTGGGACTACAATTCCCATCATCCCTGGCTAACAGAACCAGTGGTCAGGGATGATGGGAATTGTAGTCCCAAACGTCTGGAGGGCCAGAATGTCCCTCTACATTCTGAAACAACTGGTGTGAGCAGCAGAACTGCAGACTCAGCTGTGACTGCTGCTCTGTTAAACCATGATGTTCCTCGGTTAGGGGTTGGATGGTACATACATGCTGTGTTTCAGAACTGCCAACATCCAGTCCTTAAAGCCTTGAAAAAAGGAGAGCAACCAGGATCCCCCCCCCCCCGTCAAGAGCAGGATTCTCTTAGAGTAATCTTTCAGCAGCAGACTGGCCCAGAAATGGCAGTGGGTAGAATCAGAGGTCTCTTTCTCTCCTAGTCCCCTTTTCCCTGCTGGTTAAAACTTCCCTCCTCTGCAATTCCCATGATGATTGGCTCCAAGCACCTATTTAACTTTTAAACAATTGCTCAGTCTTGTTGGTGTATTGCAGAAGTAAAACCACTGCAAGGAAAAAACTGACCCAAGGACACTACTGCATACCTTGTGATGGTGCACCAACTACCAACACTTGCCTAGGGATTCCTTCTACAGAAAGGAAGCCGGTGGCCAAGGATGAACCAAGTCTCCCCATTTCCTGTGTATCAAAGAAGAAGAAGAAGAAGAAGAGGAGGAGGAGGAGGAGGAAGAAGAAGAAGAAGAGGAAGAAGAAGAAGTTGAAGAAGTTGGTACCATGGCTGGAGTCTTCCTTGTATGTTTTTATATTTGTCATTTCAAGGGGTACCAAAAAGACCTACCTTGTCTCCGGTTAAGGTAAACCAGCTCTGCGTGCTTGGTGGGATATAGCCGTATACCTTTCCAACAGTCATCTTGGTATCTCGTAAGACATAGCAGCTTAGACTACTGCACACGATGGTCAAAATATGCGGAACATTAAAAAAGAAGTAATTGCAAGAGATAGCACCACCACGGCAAAATATTCTTGGTTCAGAATCTAAAGTATCTGGAACGTGACGTCTTAATTTAAATAACAAGTTTTAATTCTGGGCTGCATCAATAGGAGTATAGCATCTAGATCAAGGGAAGTAATAGTGCCACTGTATTCTGCTCTGGTCAGACCTCACCTGGAGTACTGTGTCCAGTTCTGGGCACCACAGTTCAAGAAGGACACTGACAAACTGGAACGTGTCCAGAGGAGGGCAACCAAAATGGTCAAAGGCCTGGAAACGATGCCTTATGAGGAACGGCTAAGGGAGCTGGGCTGTTTAGCCTGGAGAAGAGGAGGTTAAGGAGTGATATGATAGCCATGTTCAAATATATAAAAGGATGTCATATAGAGGAGGGAGAAATGTTGTTTTCTGCTGCTCCAGAGAAGCGGACACGGAGCAATGGATCCAAACTACAAGAAAGAAGATTCCACCTAAACATTAGGAAGAACTTCCTGACAGTAAGAGCTGTTCGACAGTGGAATTTGCTGCCAAGGAGTGTGGTGGAGTCTCCTTCTTTGGAGGTCTTTAAGCAGAGGCTTGACAACCATATGTCAGGAGTGCTCTGATGGTGTTTCCTGCTTGGCAGGGGGTTGGACTCGATGGCCCTTGTGGTCTATTCCAACTCTATGATTCTATGAATTGCAAGAGTTTATGCAGGATTGCATTCCCCTTAAATAGCAAATTAATAGTTTGGGGATTCTCCTGGACTCCATATTATCTATAGAGATTTAAGTGGCGTTGGGGGCAGTTTAGGCTGGTTTATGGTCTACCACTGTAGCTAAAGAAGGGGTGTTGCTTGAGTTACATATGCCTTAGTTCTATCCAGACTAAAAGGTAAAGGTAAAGGTACCCCTGCCCGTACGGGCCAGTCTTGACAGACTCTGGGGTTGTGCGCCCATCTCACTTAAGAGGCCAGGGGCCAGCGCTGTCCAGAGACACTTCCGGGTCACTTGGCCAGCGTGACATCGCTGCTCTGGCTAGCCAGAACCGCACACGGAAACGCCGTTTACCTTCCCGCTAGAAAGCGGTCCTTATTTATCTACTTGCACCCAGGGGTGCTTTTGAACTGCTAGGTTGGCAGGCGCTGGGACCAAGCAATGGGAGTGCACCCCGCCACGGGGATTCAAACCGCCGACCTTTCAATCGGCAAGCCCTAGGCGCTGAGGCTTTTACCCACAGCGCCACCCGCGTCCCTCTATCCAGACTAGATCGCTGTAATTTTCTCTGCTTGGGGCTACCTTTAAAAACCACTTTGGAAACACCAACTAGAAGGCTTGTGGAGGCCAGGCATTCATAGCATAGCTGTACCAGATGCATTGGCTGTCTATTTGTTTTGGGACCCAGTTTAGAATGCTGATATTGACCTTTAATGCATAAATTGGAAGGAATGCCTGCACCTATATGACCCTGATCAGGCCTTAAGACTGTCCTCTTCCCAAGATTTATCAGACAGGTGAGCATAAGATCAGGGCCTCTCCAGTAGTGGCCCCACATTTTTGGAACTCTCTCCCCCCAAAGTAGTTGTACATATGACCCAACTTTGTTAGTCTTTAAATTGACCATAAACAAATATCTATTTCTGTGTTTTATTAGATGACACACTTTTCCAAAGAGATACTGGAGAGTTTCTTTATAGGAGGATTGTCGCAAACCAGCAGAATACACTGTATCCAGTCCCCAATTCTCTTTCTTCCCCCACCCCCCGAATATCCAGCTTGCAAACAAATCATAACAAGCCAACAAATGGAGGGCCGTGCAGACTGGGGGAAAGCTATGGCAGACCAGACATAGCATGCAGGCTTTATGTTGATTATTACTGCTTTACATAGGTTGCATCCAACTAAGTTATACTCAGAGTAGACTCACTGAAATCAATGGACCAAACTTAGTCATTTCTATTAACTGAAATGGGTTTACTCTGAGTACAATTCTAACATTGGACACATAACCAATCATCTTTAATGGTTAGGATATATTGTTGTAAACTGCTGTGAAACCTGTGTTTGAAAAGTGGTTTATAACTCAGTGTCAGGGAGCATTAGGAAAAGAGAGGTATTTGGCTTGTTTGAAACGACCTCTAATAAGCAAAACAAGTATTAAAACAGTACACATTTAGAAATAATACTAACCTACTTAGTTTACATTTAAAAGTTAAATAAGTAATTAAAAAAGTAAATAAAGAATTAAAAGAAATAATACTAACCCACTTAGTTTACACTTAAAAGTGCACAATTTTAGGCTGGGTATGATCACATACAAACTTTACAAACTGGGTATGATCACATACAAATCTAAAATTAAGTGCAATATACCTTTTACAGCTTTTCCAAGAAGGACTGCCAATAAGCAGCAAGGTTGTATTTTGAAGTTGGACACTGCTGAGTGATGATCCAAACCACGCATAATCCTTTTCTCCTTTTACTATCCAGTCAGCATCTGTTAGGAACAGCTGGTCTGATAGACCAAAGAAGAAATAGAGGATAACAGAGGATATGTTTCTGGTAGGTATCACATACTTTATGAAAGGATCAAGGTCTTCTGGTTTGTTCAGTCTTACTGCACTACCTGGATCATAATTCTTGCTACTTTTTAAATACATGAAAACTCATGTTGAAACTTCACTCAGATCAAATTGCCTCTGCAATGATGCCAACAGGGCAGGGTCAGTTCAGTTCATCAAGTGATGCAGCTGTCCTATACATGCTTACCAGGGGGTAAATATTCAGTAAGACATACTTCTGAGTTGGAATACATAGGGTTGCACTGTAAAACTCCTTCTAGTCTGTTTTGACTCAGAAGATTATGGAATGGTATACAAAGCCTTCTGCATGAATTCATACTGGATCTTAGGCTGAGGGTCCTTTAGCATTAAAAGCATTGTCCGGTGTTTATTACCAGCAATATAACTTGGAGAAGGATTTAGACTATTACTGTGGTTTTGTCTTACGATGGACTTGAAAGGGAGCTAATAGAAGACGCAAGAAAAAGTAGCATATGAAATAGCAGAAATAAACTCCAGCAAAAAAAATAAATGTCACCTTGGCTGCTTCTATTGAGAAACGAATAAAACGAAGCCACAAATCCTCTTTGTTTCCCACCACCAGATGCGTAAGGAGAACCAACCACGAGATCCTTGTTTCCATCGCCATCAAGGTCAGCTGCCAGCAGTGACCAGCCAAGGTTACAGTATATTTCCTGCAGAAGGAAACTGAGATTTCAGTAGGTCTGGCAATACTGGAGTAGGTGCAGGGCATTAAGTTGCATCTCACTATCCTTCAGTCTGTCTGGAAGCCTTGTATGCCTGAGCCCACCTACTACAGTCTGTCGAGCCTAGGAGTTGCTTGTCCAACTCAAATCAGTTTTCGGAGTCTCCCTGAGCTTGTGCTGCAGCAGCTATAAACTGAGAGGAGGAAGACTGGAGACAGAAGGACAAGGAACCTGCAGGCTCCAGATAAATAGTTTCTCTAAACTTGAGACAAAACTAACAGTTAAACTATCACTTAGCAGAACCATGCTCTGAGCAAGAAGACAACTCAAGGGCAGAGCTGATCTGTAGGAGATGGAGATAGTTTTGGGAGTTCCTTTCTGCCTAGGACAAGCACAAGTCAAGGCCTGTGTCTGACACTTAAAGGGAAGTTTTCCTTCTGCCCATACCTGCTGCATTTTGGGGAAGCCTTGCACCTTTTCTCTTGCATTCTGGAAAGTCTTGCTTATAATCTTTTCCCTGCTTTTGCACACACTGTACAGTTCTGTTCCAAACACCAAGACATTCCCTTCTTGCTCAGCTCACCCTAAGTTCATGATGACTTGTTCTTTATGCCTAGCTGACCACATCTACAGAACTTGATTGTTATATTGTTTCGTGCCATATTAATCTCTAGTTACAATTTAATTAGGAGGCTTCATGCCTGTCTAGTTCTAGCTTCGATTCCCAGCCTTTAATCCATCGATAATAAATGATCACACGTAATCCCCACCTCTCACATGTAATTCCCGCCTTATGCTTATGTATCAACCAATCAGCAACAAGCACACCTGTGGCAATGTTTGTAATATTCAATAAAAGAGGCTCCCAGGGTCCGCCCTGACCAGACGCCTCATGTTACACCTGCCTCTCTCGTCTCCTGTGATTTTTCATTCCTACAGACACTGTACAGGAAGGGTTTTTTTTTCTCAGGAACCAGGGTTAGAGAGTGGTTTTCTCTCTCTCTCTCTCTTTCTTTCTTTCTTTCTTTCTTTCTTTCTTTCTTGTGTGAACTAACAGCCGTCAATATTGAAAGTCGGTACTATAGACCCTACTGCCTGGAGTATAAAATGGGCCAATTGAGTTGTGTTTCACCAAGGCAATATTGGTGAAAATTGGAGAAGAAAGGAAGACATCTTGTTTAGCTCCTGAATCAATAACGAAATTTCAGTAAAGCAGCCCTATTACAAATCCTCTCACACCACCCAGTCCATGATGTAAGTAACACAAGATGACTCAAGGAAATGAGACGAGCCACACAGGACAGTGTTTTTGCAACATTCTTTTGGATGTCTGAAAGAAAAAAGCTACACATATGCCATGTTCGGATGGCAATATCTTAGCTTAAGACAAGATAGGAACAAGTGTTATCATTGCATCAACAACCCCTTTGATTCTCCTTCCACATAAGCAAATGAGGAAGTCTTCCGTTAACTACAGTTTCCTGTTTCATCTAAAGCAGGTAAATATGATTAACAGCTTCAGAAAAAGCCAGGATATTGAGCCATAGTTTGAAGTTGGCAATATATGGTGGCTTGTTCTGAAGCCATTAAGCATAATTTCAATTTGGATGGATCAGTAAACTATAATTAACCAAAGAATTCCTTGTTTGTTTACTCATACACCTGTACAAATTTCATTCATGCAAGATTCATTTGTATCATGGTTTATTAAGTTCAAATGTGGCCCTAGTACACACAGAGGAAATATAGAATCCTTTTTCTTCAATTTTACAACATTGTACTTAACAGTGCTTCATAAAAATACAGGAACAGTTATTGGCACACATTGGTACACACAATGACATTGATTTAACATATTGTGTGCCAATGAAGCAATAATAAATCTATTATGATAACAGAATCCACGTGTATGTTTATTCTGGATAGATCTAGAGAAACCCTAGATTTAATTTCTTATATGTTTGTATTGCATTTCATCAGCAAACTTACTTGACAAGCTATGGTGACATTTGGTAGGCTGTGGAAACCTTGTCCTCTATTGCCAAAAAATACATATACAGAGCCCTGGATCAACAGAAAATAAAATTTTAATAGGGTATGAATCAAATCCAGAATTTTTATTTAATTTTTTTTTAAAATCAATTTCACCTCATCCTTTCATCTTCACATGAACCTGTCTGTCCGGGTGTACTGTACAACTGCAATCTAGCCTAGTCTAATAATTCAATTTGTGATTCACAGATATTGGCATTCACAAAACAGGTTGGTCCTAAGATTGTCAGTCAGGTGATGCATCTGATATTCTGTCTGCTTTATTTCACTTGGGCCATGCTAACGTCCCCTCTTATGAATCGCCCGTAATTACTAACCTGCACTAACATTTTACACTGTAAAAATGCCACACACACATATTCTTACCCTGTAACTGAGTTCCTGTGATCCTACAGACGGGGCTCCCACTGCTAGATCCAACACACCATCTTTGTTGAAATCTAGAACTGCTACTGCAGAACCAAACCTTGCTGAAGGCTTAAAAAGAAAGAAGCCTACATCATTATGGCAGTCCAACACCCATTTTAAAAGCTTATCTTTCTTTTTAAGGAATACCTGCTCATATAACGTTCAGCACAATTGCTTAACATTTTTGGATTTTTTGTTTGTTATTTAGCTTTTTTTTTTTTAATTGTGACAAAAGACTGTATTTTAAATATGTACTTTAAACCCAGCTCCTAGTTCAACACTCCATTCCACCATGCAAATATAATACTCAGGAGAATGGCCAAACCCTACTACTTCCATTTAGCTCATATAGATTCCCAGTAAAGAGTCCTTAATAGTTTTAAGCAGCAACGCTCTTTATTCACAATGGACTTTTATCTTTAAGTGATTATTTTAGAAATGAAGTTAATGGCATTGCTAGTAGAAAAGAAGATGCCGCCAGTCTTTCAGATGACCGGAAACACAAGCAAAATGTTTTCAATGACCAATGTGTGACTTGTTTTCCTACCTTATTCCCCTCCAGAATGCAATCTGCTTCCTGGTCTAGGTCCAAGTTTGCATGAGGCAAACCTGATTCGTTACCATAAACAATATATACACGGCCTATCTGAATGTGTCCCAGCCGGCTGTATCCTGGCGCTCCTGCTACCAGGTCATCGTAGCCATCCTGGTTTAGGTCAGCAGAAATCAACGCCCTGCATATCGAGTGAAATAATTCCAATTACTCTTTTGGTTTACATTTGTTTAAAGCTTCCACATTTTTCATTTGCAGATTTTCAATTGTCTATATAAAAGAGTAATTGCTGTGGTGGCCCTGAAGAAAGGTGAGATCCAAAACGAAATCTGATTTAATTGTTTTATTATCCCAATCCTGTATCGACAGGATTGTTGTTGTTGTTGTTAGTCGTTTAGTCGTGTCCGACTCTTCGTGACCCCATGGACCAGAGCACGCCAGGCACTCCTGTCTTCCACTGCCTCCTGCAGTTTGGTCAGACTCATGTTTGTAGCTTCGAAGACACTATCCAACCATCTCGTCCTCTGTCGTCCCCTTCTCCTTGTGCCCTCCATCTTTCCCAGCATCAGGGTCTTTTCCCGGGAGTCTTCTCTTCTCATGAGGTGGCCAAAGTATTGGAGCCTCAGCTTCACAATCTGTCCTTCCAGTGAGCACTCAGGGCTGATTTCCTTAAGAATGGATAGGTTTGATCTTCTTGCAGTCCATGGGACTCTCAAGAGTCTCCTCCAGCACCATAATTCAAAAGCATCAATTCTTCGGCGATCAGCCTTCTTTATGGTCCAGCTCTCACTTCCATACATCACTACTGGGAAAACCATAGCTTTTACTATACGGACCTTTGTTGGCAAGGTGATGTCTCTACTTTTTAAGATGCTGTCTAGGTTTGTCATTGCTTTCCTCCCAAGAAGCAGGCGTCTCTTAATTTCGTGGCTGCTGTCACCATCTGCAGTGATCATGGAGCCCAAGAAAGTAAAATCTCTCATTGCCTCCATTTCTTCCCCTTCTATTTGCCAGGAGGTGATGGGACCAATGGCCATGATCTTCATTTTTTTGATGTTGAGCTTCAGACCATATTTTGCACTCTCCTCTTTCACCCTCAATAAAAGGTTCTTTAATTCCTCCTCACTTTCTGCCATCAAGGTTGTGTCATCTGCATATCTGAGGTTGTTGATATTTCTTCCGGCAATCTTAATTCCGGCTTGGGATTCATCCAGCCCAGCCTTTCTGGCTTGGGTCCCCCCCCCCCTCAAACAAGATCATTTCCCTGCATAGTTATTACATGCAGGTAGGATAAGCATCCAGGCAATAGTATTGAGTCCATACAAGCTGATGTATCAGACAAAAACAGAATGGAGAAATCAGAACTCAGAACTCACCACCCAAGTCTAGCATATGGAGTTTTCAGAAAATATGAAGCACTGGGTTTGGTGACATGCTTCGGTGACCCTTGTGTCGTCACTGACAACACTCTCCTCAAACCTTTTGCAGTGGCACTATTGCTCAACTGAAGATAATTCTGGGGGGGAAATGCATAAAGGAATATTCAAGCACATTCATAATTATATTTTGGTTGTTGACCCAGCAAGGACCCAATTTATATTTAGTGCAATACACCAGACTCACTGCAATGAACGGGTGCCTCTACACTTGCAAACAGTTAGTGCTGTGCTGAGAATTTATCCTACTTTTTTGTTTTGTTTTTGCTTCATCATTGTCTGTGTCAACGAACGAAAAAGAAATTGCATTCAAAAATTATCAAAAAGGAGAGAACATTTTGGTGAAATTGTCACAGGGGGGTGCAGGGTTTTATTGTCATGCTTACCTCACCTTTGAAGTGGCTGAGGACATTTGTAATCATCCTGAGGATGAGGCAGATAAATGGAAGCCTCTTTCTCAGAGGAAGAAAACTTTTTTTAAAAATGGAGGCTAGATTTTGGCACATCACTACACAGCTACTTTCAATTTCATTAAAGCTTTTTTTATTATATGTACTACTACTACTACTACTACTACTACTACTACTACATACACACAGTGCTTTTTTCTAAAAGAAAATGTTTAGGGGTACTCTCATTTTTCTACTCATATTGAAATACTGCCCCTCAATGAGACCATACTTAGATTCACAAAATGTTCAGGGGTATGCGTCCCCCTGTGTCCCTCCAGGAAAAAAAGCACTGTATATATGTACTATGTTATCAGACCCTCCTCTAGCTGTATCTCACGACCTCTTGAAAGAAAGGAGATCGTCTGTTGTCCAGTAGGTTAATTAAACTCCAGCGCAGTGCTGCTAAAATATTGAGCCATTGTTACAATCTCTTGGCTGAGGCCAGTTTACATATTCTACTATACATTTTGACTTGAAGGTTTACTTGGAATCACATGACAGGCACCTACAGAGTTTCCCATAAGCTCCAGTGAACAGAAATATCTCACATATAGTAGCTTCACACTTTCCATGAAATGCACGTAACAAAAAACTACTTTGTATTACCTGAACGTAATATATAGCTTTTTGGGGGGGGAGGGGTGGCAAAGAATATGTAGAAGGCAACTTGTCAACAAACAAGGCACTGGGTGTCCAGTGTATCTCCATATATATTTCTATCCCTTACCATTAATATCTAAATGCCAGAAAGACTTACTGCTGTCCAAGGTGGCACTTCAAAATAAACTCCTCGCTCTGTGTAGCTGATATTTTTTTCAACTGATTTGGCCATTGAAGAAGTCGTTTGTCTGTAGTGTTCAGTTCTGGACTGTTTGATTCTGCTGAAATAAGGCAATAACGATTAGACATTTGCTTATGGGAACATAAAAATGGAATAAATGTCACGGATAGTCCTTTACAAGAGATTACAATGTAATAAGTGTTTTAGTTAAGTACAAAACCGGAAAAGTCCAATGTTTAAAACACAAAATGGACACAAAGGTTTTTTATGGACATTTTCTGGCAATACTCAATAGTTCTGTGCTTTAAGTATTTTAAAATTTGTATTAAACATTTGAATGATCCAGTTTAGTATTTCACTCAAAACTTAGCCCATTGTGGTCTCTGGTGTATTTATGGTTGTAATTTTGGCAACACAAACTCTCCGTTTTGTGCTGACAAGTATATGCCAGCTTTTTAGTAAAAAACTAACAAACCATTTCCATTTGTTCCATAAGAACAATCTTCTACAAGGCCAGAGGTAAACTTCTGTTTTAAATTTAGTTATTCTAACAATATTTTCAGGACAGCCAGCCAAATGGGTGGAACCCAACCAGGGATGCTATAACAGTGGATTTCCTGCATCAGTAGTGTGTTGAACCAGCTACTTTTGGAGGTTTCTTCCAACTATATAGTATTCATCAAAGGAAAATCATAAATGAAAAGCTTCAAGGATTTGAAAGTTTGGTGATACTGGCTGAGAATGTATCAGCGGGCAAGGTCCAAAGTTCTACAGTATGGCTTCCACTAATGCAGCGAGGCTGTTACATCTTGCTTTCCCCACTTCCTCTCCTGCACCCCCCAAATCTGCTCTGGAGATTTCACTGGAGATCTCCTATGGGAAATGCAAGAATATGGGTTTTTTTCTGATCTAGATGGTGGGCCAATTGCAACAGAAAGAGACATAGGATGTAGACGGCCTGAATTTTGTTTAATGGAATGAACATGAAAAAGACAAATATTGTTCAGACAACCAATCAAACTAGGCAGACATACGTTACGTCTTTACTTACATGACAGCATTTGTTTGTTCATCTTTACAGCGTATATACAAAGGATTCTCAGGAATAAAGCAGCCACTAAAGAAGAAATTTTCAAATAATTATGCTAAATGCATAATTTTAAATGCTGACTACTACTTCATAAGTACCCAGGGCACACAGGGCAATTCTATACCTCCCTGCTGCTCTCAGATACCAATCCTGCTACAACGTAGAATGTTGCTAGATTCTGTACAGCAGCACTCAAAATTTGCTGGAGCCTGTGCCACAAACTATATTTAATGAGCGTATCAGAGCGCTCTGTAAATTAATAGTTAAAGTCTTTTATATATCAACCTTTTATGCTCTTACACACCCGCCCAATGCTCCTATCCCTTCTTTTAGCTTCTTTTAAATTCTTATAGACTTATATATTCACCTTCTGTTTTAACACCTTTTAGCTTTCCGAAACACTTTTCAGATTTTAAATGACTGGATCCTACGCTTTTATGCTGGTTTATGACCGTAATAAAGATTTGTATTGTATTGTATTGACCAAACAACACAACTATTCCTCTCTCAGAATTAACCAGATGTCCTTAAACTCGTTTTCTCTAATTGCAAACATAATCAGCACTTCAAATGAAATGTTAGAAGGCTAATGGGTGGCTATTACATGTGAATTATTATAGCATCCACAGCTCAATTCACAACTTATCTGAACCACAATTCTTACATGAAAATATTTGCATAATTTTATTATTGGTTTAGAGTAGTATACCCTGGTCTAGAGAGGTTAAACCAGCACCTCACCTTGTTCCATTCTCTAACATTTGACTTGTTTGCTCAAAAATGTTATTTGATGAGAATGCCATATCATCCACACCACCGAGAAAATATTCATGGAATTTGTTCACCAAAAATGAGGACTTCCTGGCATAAATGGGGTAAAGCTATGAAAATGGAAATGCAAATTAATTAGATAGATGAGAATTTCAAGAGTAGCATTCAACAAAGCTTTTTTCAACAAAAATACATTACCTTGGCGACAGTGATCATTTCGCCAAACCTGCAGGAGAAAGTACAATATTCTCTATTTACCATCCGTGTAGAACTTTTCAGTGCACAAAACACTTTTTATATACACCTACGTGCTTCCTTTGCTGCTGTTGTTTTTTATATTGCCTTGAGTACCTCTATATAAAGATAGCTGACAGTTTAAATACAGACATAACCCATACAGTTCTTAGCTGATTATTAAAATCACTGCGTAATAGTTCCACTGTTAATGGGGGGGGGATAATTAAAGCAATCCATATAAATAGTGCTTTTCTCGGGGGGGGGGCGCATACCCCTAAACATTTTATGAATTTAAGCTTGGTTAGAGGAGCAATATTTCAATATGAGTAGAAAAATGAGAGTACCCCTAAACATTTTTTTTAGAAAAAAGCACTGCATATAAAAGTATTTAGCTGCAACAAACTATGGTTTCTCATTACAGCAGCAAGTCAAAGTGAGTCTCAGGCTTGCATACTTCCCTCTAACTTCCAAGGTGATCAAAGGTTAATTTCCTTTTTTGATTAATTTCCGTTTAGCATTACGTCCAAAGCCTAAACTGTGGTTAAGTTTAACTACCTAACATTCGAAGGTGGCTTGTTTCAGTAAACCATGTTTAAGATTAACCTGTTTGCCGGAGTTCTGACATAACAAAACACTTCAGTTAATCAAAATTGAAAATGGAAACTTCTGATTTTTCTCTTCAGGGGCACACTGAGGAAGGAAAGGTTCCCTGCAGCTCATTCCCATGATGCTAAATCATAGCTTATTATTACACCAAACACAGACTTTGTGGGCCACTACAATGTGGAAGCAGTATTCACCATGTAGAAAGATAACAAGGGCATCTGTCAGCTAAACGCATTTATTTCAGTAAAATTCATTAACAAATTGGTTATTCCAGATTTGTTATTCAGCTGAAATAATGAACTGACCAAAACTATATTTATTAAACACACAGCTTGATATGAGTCTGCAGTGCAAAGAAATGTTTAGAATAGGGGCAACAATTGCTGGCCCATCAGCAAATGTTAAAATACACCCACATCCCTCTGGCATCGCCTTCAACTCCACATCCTGATTTCCTTTAAAGTGTATATATTGAGACATCTCCTCCTTAATATTTATCTGTTTCCCATTTCAATATGTCAGTCCCTTCCAATCTTTCCTTTAGCACCAAAGCACAGGTTTTTTTAAAAAACAACCCAGGGATTTAAAGATGTACTGTGATAGACCATGGGTTATTGTGTAAGGAAAATAGAGGACAAAATTGGAGACAAAGACAATATAAACGACGAAACGTGTAACTTTATTCACTGCTTCGAATGATTTGCGGCCAAGCTGAAGGAAGTCCTGAAAGAAATAATTATGTTATAGGAGAATTGTGAAAACAATAATTTTGTGTACTTTTTACTTATTTCTGTACTTTTGTGTACTTTTTACTTATCTACTTGTTTCTTGGTATGCTTTCTCTTTTTTGTGTTTCTTTTCTTTTTATTTGTGTGTTAATTTCTGTTTCTTTTCATGGAATAAAAAGAATTTCAAAAAAAAACAACCCAACCAATTGTCCTTCTATCTACTTCGGCCCATCCACTTATGGGAGATCCCTTCCACAAAAAATAAAACACACACCACAACTTTAAACTTTCTTCTTCCGCACCTTTTCTTCTCCAATTCTCATCATTTAACAGCACTAGCTCTATCCTTATTTGCATGTCTAACCCATCAACAACAAATTTCCCCTGTTTGGGCCCAATGCCCTCCACACTGAGTTGTGCTTTCCCAAAATTATTTATTTTCTCCTTCAATTACTATACTGAGAGGATTTTTAGTATGTACTTCATTTTTAAAAAAAAGGATCAAACATATAATCAAATTATAAAAAGTGCACTGCTGTAGGAATAAAAATGGAAACATTTAGCTTGACTTACACTTCAAGAAACTGCAGATACGTGCAGTCAACAATTGTGTCTTCAGTTATTACTTTCAGCCCATAAAGTTCCTGGTAGATTGACAGTAAATCTTTGACTGGCACATACCTAAATATATTGAACAGCAGAGTTTCTTATTTAAACCAACAAAGTTCATTGGCATAAATCAAGTCCTCAACTAAAATTGTGGACCCATCCGCAGCACCCCCCTCCCCAGCAGGTGAAGCCACAGGCAACAACAGGTGTGAACAAACTAGACAAGATAATTTCAACCCCAGAGTCCCTGATGCAAGTAAAGGTAAAGGACCTCTGAACAGTTAAGTCCAGTAAAAGACGACTATGGGGTGTGGCGCTCATCTCGCTTTCAGGCTGAGGGAGCAGTGTTTGTCCACAGACAGCTTTCCAGGTCATGTGGCCAGCATGATTAAACTGCTTCTGGCACAATGGGACACCGGGACGGAAGCCAGAGCGCACGGAAACGCTGTTTACCTTCCCACTGCAGCAATACCTATTTATCTACTTGCACTGGTATGCTTTCGAACTGTTAGGTTGGCAGAAGCTGGGACAGAGCAACGGACTGGCTCACATGGATTCGAATTGCCGACCTTCCAATTGCTAAGCCCAAGAGGCTTGCTCAGTGGTTTAGACCACAGTGTCACCTGCTCCCTGATGCAAGGGTAATGTTATAACATTGGTTGTAGTGGTTATAATGTTATAACATTGGTTCCTCAACACCACATTGGTGATGGTGGTTAAACCATGGATCTTTCGCCACTGTCTCTGCTTCTGAACCCTCTGCTCCCTGCGCTCTCTCTCTCTCTCTGTTTTGAAAACAGCACACTTACCAGCTTGGTTCCAAATAACTAAAATCAAGCTCAAACTGGCTCAGCACGTCTCCTCCTAAAATTAGAGGGTGAAAAGAGAGCAAGACATCAACTTACTGAAGCAAAAACCATACAAAGAATTTTGCCTGCCTTTTACTGAAGCAAAAACCATACAAAGAATTTTGCCTTCCTTTTAGATTATTGGAGCATTTGCATTTGAACAAAATCTGGAACACCTCCACAGGCCCAACTAGTTTCTTTCTGCATAGCTTGCTCATTTCCGTTAAGGGCATTTCTTCCTGTCTGCCACATACTTTTGGATTTGTCCTGTCCCTTATGCTCAGAACCTAAGCAAGTTTCTCACTGCCTGCTTAAGGGCCTTGTCAACCATCTCAGCCAGCTGAAATGCCCCATGTGAAACTGAGCCAGCTATGCAGAAAGAAACTAGTGCCATGGTTAAACAAGTCACTTATTTCAGGTGTGAAGTCATTGAAACCTTAGTGATATCAGTCTTTTCTGTAAGAACCTTCAGGAATTTAATGGAAATCTAGGGAGAACATTCCAGGATCCATAAGGAAATAAATTACCAAAATCACCAGCAGCGTGAGCATCTGAATATGAGCCATAAAAATCAATCTAGGAAAAACAGAAACAAGTTATTTACTTGTAGGAACATGAACAGAATCAAAGTAGGAACATGAACAGAATCAAAATTTCTCATTTCTCCTCTTTGATACAAGGCAACATAGGAGATGATCCAGACCCCTGAAGCTTCTTTTTCACCCTCACCTTTGCATAAAGTTCCATGTATAGGATTCCTCCAGCAGGAGTTCCTAGCCAATCAGTTGCAAAAACTCAAGACTTTTGTCTCCTTCTCTGGCTACCTCCAAAACTGCCAAGGTGTTCATATCTACCAAGCCATAATGGCTACTAGTCAACAACCATCCTTACTTATCAGAATCTTAAGAGTTTGTGCTCTCCCTTTTCTCTTGTACTACAGAGAACATCCAACCAATTAATTTTTTTAAAGGTGAACAGCAGTAAGGATCTTTCCTTCCTTCCTTCCTTCCTTCCTTCTCCCTCCCACCCCAGATATTATGTGATTGTCACTTAAGGGGGACAACAAAACCAAATGATAAAATATGCTTCGGTCACAAGGAAAAAATGACCCGAGCCTAATAATAAAATAAGGCACCACTTACAGCTGCCATGGCATGTAAAAATCCTTGTTCAATCCCCAAGCTATGCCAACTCACGTCTGCCACCATATGAGAAGCGATTCCAAAGAGGAAAGCCACCAGTTTCTCTGTGGCCTAAACAACAGAAACAAAAACAAGCAATTCTGCATTAAGTGCATTGAAACCAAACTCTCAAAAGGTATTTGGAGACATTTAGTTGACATGTTTGCTGATGAAACCTTGCCTCTGCTTTCACCAACACAAGGGAGAAACCTATGTGGTATGTTATTTATTTATATAGCATCTTCAGTGGGCATGCATGCTGCTGTTTTTACAGCTAGTCATTACGAAACGTCAAAATTAATTTGACATTTTCTCTTTCAAATGCTTTTGGTACAAATGAGAAAGGGAAAGAACAATAAGATTTATGAAAAGAATGATACCAGGGCCTTCGGCCTCAGCAATTTATGGGGGATTTATTACCTCTCCCCAGGGCTGAGGATAGTTCTTTCTGATGTAATGGACACTGGTACTGAGAAAAGGTGCCCAGTGAGTGTCTTCAGATACTTGACGGAACAGCCCTGAAACACCAGACAAGAACAACATTATTTCATGATATTTTTTTTAATTGATTTTTAATTTTAAGTAACAAAACATACCTATACAAGTAAAACAGAGCTTAGTAGATGTACAGAAAAGAAAGAAAAATAGCATTGGAGGATTGCAGTTTTAGACACTCCAAGAAAGCCAATCAAATGAACATGTCTCTCCATTAGGTTCCATGAGTCGATGGAGGGTGAAAACCAATTTCAATTGTCTTAACAAAGTCAATAAAAGCATACCATGTCATTTAGAAGGTGTGAGCTCCCTCAACTGATATTCCTTTCGAGAAACGGTTAATTTGTCCAAAAGCATAATGTCCCATACTTGCGAAATCCAGGCTTCAAAAAGATTTGCAATTAAAGTTTTCCGATTTTCCACAATCACTAATCTAACTGCAGTTAATAAATGAAAGTTGAGGTCTTTATTGGTTATGATCTTAATGTGAGGAGTAAAACACAACAGTAGGGCTAATTTGGGTCTGGTTTTCTGGTTGCAGCAATTGTCCCATCATTTAATTGTTTGGAAAAACCTTTTCCCAAAAAGGAATAAATTTTAGGTAAAACCACCCCATGTGGATTGGAGAGCCAGTACTTCATTGCATTTCCACCAGCAAAGGTTGAGTGTGTTGTGCTTAATTCTATACAGTCTGGATGGGTACATATACCAGTGATGTGCTACATTTAAAGAATTTTCTAGGAGTTCTAATTGAGATGGATCCAAATAGTAGTTTATTCCAAACTGGTTGCCAGAGTTGTTCCTCTAATTCTTCTCCAAAATATTTTCCCCATTCACGAAAAGTTGGACCAGTAGCCCTTAGTATAAATTATAAAGCATATCAACCCAAGATGCACTCATACTAAAGGAACGTGGAATTGTAAAGAGAGATTGTCGGTTTAAATGATCAAATGCCTTGACTGATCTCCTCTGCCTGCACCTTTTAAAGTAGACTTCTTTAACCTTGGGTCCCCAGAAGTTGTTGGCCTGCAACTATAATTATTCTCCTCATTCCTCCTGCAGTGTTCCTTGGCATTCGTTGTTTGAACAGTGGTTTCTTCTCCACTGGCATAGTTACAATTTATATACAGTAGTACCTCGGGTTACATACGCTTCAGGTTACAGACTCAGCTAACCCAGAAATAGTGCTTCAGGTTAAGAACTTTGCTTCAGGATGAGAACAGAAATCGTGCTCTGGCGGCGCAGCAGCAGCAGGAGGCCCCATTAGCTAAAGTGGTGCTTCAGGTTAAGAACAGTTTCAGGTTAAGTACGGACCTCCGGAACGAATTAAGTACTTAACCCAAGGTACCACTGTATATGGACCCCTAACCAGCCAACTAGTAAATTAATCAGGCTACTTGTCAGTAGTATGGTTTTGGGGGGCAAGGGGAAAAAAACTAATTTCTCCAACCATTTATTACCATTCCTGCAGATACCAGAATAAAAGGCATCAGGATACAGGCTTCCAGCCTGATAGGCATCTTGGTGTGTTAGTATCAACTGGACAAGAGGATAGTGAAGAAACAGAAATAAAAGTAAGAGAGAAAAGGGGAGGGGGAAGAGAGAGAGAATATTATTAGTTGCATATTACCAACATTTCAAGTACTAAAACAATATAGCACTTAATACTCACATCTAGGTATTGTTAAAGTCACTCAAATACTGTCTCTTAAATACTCATAAAAAATATTAAAGGTAAATATAAGAAGGTTTTACATAGTTTAGTAAGGATGAACAAATGTCAATTCTTTTACAATGGGGTGGCTAACCCCTAGCCTATGGTCCGGACAATTTTTGTAATAGTTACAAAAAGAAAAGGCATGGAAGGCGGCTCAGTGCTGGGGTGGGTGGAGAAGGTAGCAGAAAGAGGAAATATTTATTAAAATGCTTTTTAATGTTAGACTCATAAGCTTCCTACCTTGCGATAGTTAACATTTCCTTCTGGGCTGCTGAAAAATTCCAGAGCTCTGTGAGCTAGAAAAATAACATCACATTAGCTTCCTGGTGGCTTTTGAAAAACAGGGGGTCTGCAGTACTTAACTGGAGATCACTTACCATCCTCTGGGAAATATGCAATTCCCTACAGTGTCCAGATTTTGCTGCATGATCGTATCCCTTAATATCGGGAAATGTCAAACAACCTTCACCTACTGGTTTTCAAAGAATATCAAGAGATATCCTTAACTTACTTACCCACACACAATCTATTATTTTGCCATGACAAAATGTATGGAGAAACAGATAATGGCAAATTTGTAAATAAATGTAATCCTGTGTGTTTATTTTTATCATGGTTATCCTACCCATTCAAGCAGTCTTTCAATTTGACCATATTGCTTAACCCTAATTTCACTTGTTGAATTAACAATGTATTGTTTTAAGATGCCTTATGCAAAAGACTAGAACAAAAGCATAAATAAAAGAAGTTAAATGCCTGAATTGCCTCCTAGCCATAAACTTTGTAGCTGAAAATTCATTACAAAATGAATTGCAACTGAAGCCTCCGCAGTTAAGACACAAATTCCACAATGAAATATATTTCTAATTCTTAAGCTACCCTCTCCCCCTCGATTTCTCAAATATCGGGCAGATATCAGGTAAGCATATAATTTTTTTAAGGCTTGAAAGCTCAGAAAACATTTAGCATCTAATTTCTGCATATAAAAATTAGTCCTGAAGGCTAAGATACTCAGATTTTTAATATGTTTGATTGAAGATAGCACACATATATGCTGTTTTCTGTTAATAAAATATGCCAAGCTTGCATTATGCTGGTATCATTTCACCTTCTCTAGATACATGCAGCCCTAGCCTTGCTAGCAGTTAAAAACAACATGGTAATTGCAGTATTTTATTCAACAATTGTTGCATATCCCACCCACCCCCCTTAAATAACACCTACCTGGTAACTAAAATGGTCATATTACAGAAATTATCTGTTATGATGCTTCACAACACTCATGCCTTTATTATCAAATCTTACCTATTTCAATATGTGTTGACAAGCCACATGGTGTACCTTTACGGCAAAAACTGCAAAGTACAGCTAGAACAGACCAGATCTTGAAAGCTTCCATGTTGTGGATATTCTGGACTATAAACCATGGTTTTCAAGATGCTTTCAATAGGAGGACTGTGACCTTTGAAATATGGGCTACAGTGCATTTCGTAATCAAATATGTGACTGGCACATAAACTAAGGCCCTCACATGATTTGGAAATGTGTTGCCAGTTTCCCCTGTATCAGCCAACGGATCTGAGACAAGAATCGGTCCCAACGAAACTTAATACGATGTCTCTTTTCCATTGATATCTGTGAAATGATGCCTAGAACAGAGAAAGGATATCATTGTATGATGTTTTGGCAACTGCGTCCGTCCTTCCTTCCTTCCTTCTCTCTCAACGCACCATTGTTCATTAAACCATTCTCTGCTAATGCAGGTGTTATCAGTGAAAATAACGTATTTCACTTAAAAACAACAACCTAAAATACTGATGGTTGTGTCTCGTTCTGTTAATGTCCATAATGCATGCGAGGTTTGCAATACTTATGAATTATATCTAAAGGAATAAGAACTTTTAGTAGCAGTTAACCCATTGGGGGGAGTTTTACTACATTCACAAGTGTTGCTGCTGATTCACACATTATATGGGAACAAGTACCAAAGTACCAGGACCAAAGACTGTACTCACACAGTCATTCTTTTGGTATCATCCATCAGCTCCTGTACTAGGGGAAAATTCTTCCACTGCTGGAACAGCTGCCCCTGATGAAAGCTGAGGGGAGAGGAGGCCTGATGGAGCTAGCCCATGAGTAGGCAAACTAAGGCCCAGGGGCCGAATCCAGCCCAATCGCTTTCTCAATCCGGCCTGTGGACGGTCCGGGAACCAGTGTGTTTTTACATGAGTAGAATGTGTTATTTAAAAGGCATCTCTGGGTTATTTGTGGAGCATAGGAATTCGTTCTTTCCCCCCAAAAAATATAGTCTGGCCCCTGACAAGGTCTGAGGGATGGTGGACCAGCCCCCTGCTGAAAAAGTTTGCTGACCGCTGAGGTAGCCCATCCCATATGATGCTGGGGCTGATGGGAGATGTAGTCTGAAACATCTGGAGGGCACCTGGTTGGCAAAGGCTGCTGTATGCACCGCCGCATCTGTGTTTGACTGCACCCATTCCATCAACTGGGAAACCCAGCATGATTACACTGGCAACCACATTATTATCTGTGAGGAGGCAGGGCAAAATGTTTTTTAATGGTCAGGTCACAAATTTGGGGGAAGAGAAGAGCCTCTTATGATACAGCTGTTGGCCAGCTCCAGGTTAAGAGACCCAAACTGAGGGCTGCCCCAAAGCAAAGGACAAGGCAGTGCCTTCCCATGACTGGGCAGAAACCAGGTGGAACAGCAGCTGAATCTGGCTTCCACACAGTGAAGGGGCAACATCCTCCACTCTCCCTAAGGAGAGCAGGGCTGCAAGACACACACAGCTCTGCTCTCAAGCACTCTCAACTCTGGTTCAACACTGCTTACACTGACTGGCAGTGACTCTCCAGTTTCAGCCAGGGCATCTCCTCGCTATTGCCTACACTGGCTGGTGGCAGTGGCTCTGCAGTGCAAGGTTCCAGGCAGAGGGCATTATTTCCCAGCCCTACCTGGAGTCGCCAGGGGTTGATCCTAGGACTTGCTGCGTGCAAAGAGGATGCTCTGCCACCGAGCATCCTCCAAAGCAGCAGCAGCAGCAGCACTCGCACGGAGACATGATAATGAAACAGACGACGCAAGCTTGGGCTAAAGGCGAATCTCTCCAGCAAGCAAGCACGGGAGAGTGACTTAAAGACAGGGGTGCCACCTTGAATAATATATGCGCGGCACATACTCACTATTTGAATGGCAATGCCGGGGGTAGCCCCCTCAAATATTTTAATGGAGGGGGAGGCAAAGGCACCTTGGTCGCTAGGAGTTGGCTCCTATGCTTAAAGACCACTAAATCCTTGGATGAGAACGGCCCCAAGTGCATTTGCACGGAGTTGCAGCGCTGTGCAGTTCTCTGCTTGGAAGCAAGTCCCTCCGAGGCTTTGCTCCCGAGTAAGCGCGAGTGGCGCTGCAGCCTTCAGGGACTTCGCTCCCGGGAAACCCGCCTGCCGAGGAGCTCCACGCTCGGCGGGGCCTTCGCCCTCGCCCGCCCCCAGCTCCACCCTCTCCGCTCCCTTCCCCGGCGCCGAGGCCATGGCGACTCGCTGGGCGTCGCTGGGCCTCCGAGCCCCGCTCGCTCGCCCTCCTCCTCCCCGCCGCTCTCGCTTCTGGCTAGCGGCGCCCGGCGGCGTCCGCCTGGGCAGCAGCAGCAGCAGCGCCAGCCCGGGCGCAGGGGCGCTGGCCAGTTCCCTGGTGCGCACCGGAGGCTTCGTGGGAGGCCGCTGGGTGCAAGCGGCGGCCGCCTTCCCCGTTCGGGACCCGGCCAGCGGCGCGGAGCTGAGCCGGGTGGCGGACTGCGGGGCGGCGGAGGCGCAGGCCGCGGTGAGGGCCGCCTACGAGGCCGGCGCTGCTTGGAGCGGGGCGTCTGCCAAGGTGAGGAAGGGGGACGGCTTGCGCGACGCGGGGAGAGTTTCCAAGGCAGGGGGAGCCGAGCATGCAAGAGCCCCACTCCAGGCTCCCTCCTGCGCCTGTGCGCAAGAGGGATGGACGCCCGCCGGCGCCTGGTGCACAGCTCTTAAAAGAGAGGAGCCCGGCCTTCCTTGGCATGTGGCCACCCACCGGCATCAGCTGTAGGTCATGGGCAGCCCCACATAGGCGAGGAACGCACGCGCGCGCCCTTCCAGACGCACCATGGGGACATCGAGACAGGGTTATGCAGAAGGCGCCTGCCCGTTCTGGAGAAAGGGAATGCTCCTCCTTCAAAGAGACTCCCCCCCAGGGTTTAAACTCAACCGGAGTTTGCTCTGGAGAAGCAGCAGATAGAGGAATGGGTCAATGCTGCTTGTTGTTATTTATATGAAGCAGTGCCGGATTTACGTACAGTATAAGCCAAGCAAGCTATAGCTTAGGGTCCCCAAAAAATTTAAAGGAAAAAAACACCTGGATGTACATTTCCAAAATATAAGATGAAAAACAAATAAAACCTACATACATCAACAGTGTTTTGTGTTGTGTAGGCTCCTATGATGTAAGTAATGGGCCCCCGCCTGCTAGCCTGCTTCGTAAAATATCACTGGTTTGCTCATTTCTCTATATAGGGTGCCTACATTCTGCATGTGCAAATGGCTTTAGATACCTATTAGGTTCATAAATTACCATACAGCATATATTCAACACTAAAAAACCAGCGACAATTTGTTGTTGACAAAGGACAGCTGGACATATAAAGGGCCCCATTACCTTCAGTAGCTTAGGGCCTCATCAAACCTAAATCTGACCCTGATAGGAAGGGTGGGGGTTGTTGTTTTCCATAAGTGTTATGTTAGGCGATCAATCAATTTCTTCCCTTTTGGTATTATTTATTTACTGCAAGTTGCTTGTAGACCTTCAAGGCAAGCAACTAATCAGTTTAATTTTTTTTTTTTAAAAAAGGAGTGTCTCCTAAGTACAGAGCATAGGAACCTTATGAAATATTTGAGGTACAAAGTTGATGAGCATTGCCATTGAAAAGGTGTTTGTTTGCCAGGTCTTGTGATCGATTAGGTGGGGTGAGGCTTACCTGTCCCCATCCCAATATTTTATTCAAGTTGGCACCCCTGGTACAGAGTGTTTCCCCCTAACCACCAGGGCATCACTGACAGCTAATGATAGCTTTCCATAAAATATCAAGCATATTGGCACAGTACACATGTATGTTTTTCTTGCAGTATAAGTGGTCCAGAGACATATTGCTTGAAGTCGTATAAGGCTATGCATATAGTATGTTCCACTGCATTCAGAAGAGCTTTTTCTCTAGTAAATGTGGTTTGCAGGGTGGCCTTAAATATATAGGCTTTATTTTGCCTTTCTAAGCTCCAAATACCTGTTTTTAGGGCAGATTTGAAAAAACATCTACTGGGGTAGATAACCAACTGTTGTATATACCTTGGGGGTATCTCATGGGAAGCAACTCATAAATGAAATAAATAATTAAAAAATATCTTGCACCTTCAGAGTAAAGGAAATCCTTTATTTGTTCATTTGTTTCCCCATTAACTATATTCCCTGGGGTACTTTATGTATAATACGTAAGAAACATGGGGAAATCATACATGTATTAATTATAATACTTAAGTTCCATCTTTGAGTGGAGATGCATGTTGTTGTTGTTTAGTCGTTTAGTCGTGTCCGACTCTTTGTTACCCCATGGACCAGAGCACGCCAAATTTAATTTTATCGACTTTTGTTAGTAGTCCTGTTAGAATTGAACCTGAATCTACTTGCAGGATTATTGGGAGAGAAGCAAATTTAAATACTGTAAAGCATGCAAGTAATATTGGAGTAATAATATTTTTTGCACTTGGCAATAATACTGCTAAAACACTATTTCTTTTTCAGGAAAGAGCTGCTTTACTTCGTAAATGGTTTGATTTGATGATAGAGAATAAAGATGACCTTGCAAGGATCATAACAGCAGAGAACGTAAGTATAAAAAGAAGTGGGGAGGGCATATTCCTCAGGGATTTGGGGCTGAATTTCAGGAAGCTAGTTACAAGTATCTTGCCTAGAAGGTGAAGCAGTCAATGGGTGCAGTTCAGACGTCATTCCATGTTGCAATATGTCATGACAAATGCAGAAACAAATGCAGTGACTTTTTGAAGCTCCCCCCCCCCAAGTAACACAGAAGACCTGATTCCAAAGAATTTGCTTCTAAGAAAGTTTGTGTAGAGTTGGAGGTGCAAGCTTGTTTATTTCTTTTAAAATGTTTTAACCTGCTTTTCCTGAGGTCAGAATGGCCGCAGGACATTTAAACAACCATCTAGTGATCTTAAATTATGGATGTTATGCTTCTAAACATCCCAGAAACTAACTTCACATCTTCTAGAATAGTTAGGTTTTACGTACTTTATTGAAGGTTGATGAAGGAGAGCAGTTCCAAATCTCTACATGGATGTTATTCTATAGCCTCAGAGCACTCAATTGTGAAGACCATGTTTATTGCTGCTATTCTAACATTGTGAAGTGAAGGCTCTTGGAAGAAGGCCTGAGTAACTGAACATAAACAGCATGGAAGGCTGAAATACAAAGTAGATGCTACAAGAGAAATATGGAGGTCCAACCTCATATTTCCCTCATAAAAATAGTTCAAGGGTCAACAGGGAAACTTCTAAGGAGACCGTGTGAGGGGACTTTACCCTTTCACGCCAGGTAGTTTCTCCCCAGAAGACTCCATCCATCCTCCCATCTTCTGCTTAGCAGTGCTTAACTTTTTTCTCCAGGCAGGTAATAAAAGTAGGCAAGCCCAGCTGAAAAGGAAATTGCCTAGTGGACAGGATTTTTTTGCAGAGGAGAACTAGCAGGCGTAGGAGAGGTTAAGCACTCTGCCCACTAATTCTTGGTTGCGTGCATCCTACGATGTACATTATCTTGGCAAATAAGAGTCTAAATCCACATTTCTAAGACAACATCTCCTTCATATATGCAGAGACTGTCTAAGCCTTTGACTCTTAAGGTTTGTATCAGATGGAGGAGGACTTTAAAGGCAAGTGCCAGCACCTGGAAGGCAGTTTAGACATTTTAAAATCGCACTTTAGAATGAAAACAAACGTGATCACACAAATCCTTCACTGTAATCATTTTGTTGGGGAAGAGACGTTTTGTAGTTCTCTGAATGTGAATGTCTGCATTCTGAATCATTCACAGGGGAAACCCCTGAAGGAAGCACAGGGTGAAATTCTTTATTCTGCTTCTTTCTTGGAATGGTTTGCTGAAGAAGCTCGGCGCATTTATGGTGACATCATCCCGTCTTCTGCAAAGGACAGAAGAGTTCTAGTTCTTAAGCAGCCTGTGGGAGTTGCTGCCATCATTACTCCTGTGAGTTCAGCTGACTGTTTAAGTCAGACTTTTACTCTTAATATTCAAAAGAGGCAGGATTAGTGATGCCCTGAGGCCAATGAATTAAAATTCTTACAATTACAATTACAATTAAAACTCAAATTTTGCACACAATATACAGGTTGTAAATGCATTGAAATATATGTGCTATACCTATGCTAGGTAAAGGTAAAGGACCCCTGACAGTTAAGTCCAGTCATGAACAACTCTGGGGTTGCGGCGCTCATCTCGCTTTACTGGCCGAGGGAGCCGACGTTTGTCCACAGACAGTTTTTTCCGGGTCATGTGGCCAACATGACTAAGCTGCTTCTGGTGAAATCAAAGCAGTGCACGGAAACACTGTTTACCTTCCCACCGGAGCTGTACCTATTTATCTACTTGCACTTTGACGTGCTTTTGAACTGCTAGGTAAGCAGGAGCTGGGACCGAGCAAAGGCAGCTCACCCCGTGGCGGAGATTCGAACCACTGACCTTCTGATCAGCAAGCCCAAGAGGCTCAGTGGTTTAGACCACAGTGCCACCCGCGTCCCATACCTATGCTAGAACTTGGGGATAAACGACAAAGAAAACCACACTAGCTACAGAAGCATCATTCGCTGGAAAACTCTCCCAGTCCTCTTTTTGCTTTCTGAGCTTTCAGCAAGTACTGTAGCGCTCTCAGGCTTACCCTGTCCCTTAGCATAAGTCTCTCGGGATAAGTATACATATATGTTAATTAAAACAGCCCACAACTGGAAACAATTGTGCAGGAACAACTAAAATTAATAACAGCATAAAATTAACAAAATTTAAAAGCTAGCTGAACAAAATAGAAGGCATTTTAAGGTCACTTTAAAAGTCACCAGCAAAGGGGCTACATCTGCAATTCTATGATTCTATGCACTTCCCAGGGAAGTGAATTTGAGATGTGGGGCTATTGGTAGGCTTGCTGAGTCTTCTTTCTGGTATCTGCTAATCTGATGGTTCTTAGTGGCAAGTCAGAGAGCAGGACCTTGGTGTCCCTACACGGTAACTACACGGTTTCCTGCAGAAACAATGGGATTCCAAACCATTCAATGGAAGTTAAGGTCCCATTTTGTTGGTGGAAAGGAGAGTGGCTTTTATACATGGTTTGATGGTATCTAGAAGTTGCCAGGGTCTCAGGAGCAGATGGATCAAACAACAGCCAAGGATCTTAAAAGCTTTCTATCTTGCTAATTTCCCCCTCAAATTTCAGAACTTGCCAGTTGTTTTATTGTACCAATGTGCACACAGTATTTAAATGCAACTGTTTCTTCAATTTAGTGGAATTTCCCAAGTGCTATGATTACAAGGAAAGTCGGTGCTGCTTTGGCAGCTGGCTGCACAGTGGTGGTGAAGCCAGCAGAAGATACACCCTTATCTGCTTTAGCACTTGCTGAGGTGAGATTTTTATATTGATGAAGAGTGGATTAATTATTACTATTTATTGCACTTACTAGTCATTTTTTTCTAAGTCACTCTGAGTTATTTGTAGAATAGTACAAAGACTGAAACCAGTATAAAGCTAAAATTGGAATAAAAATCTAAAAGCATTCATATACACTATATAAAAGTCAGATTAACTTTTTGGTTATTTTTAAAAATAAGATTATTGAAATTATGTGTGGTTTTTAAATGCTTGTGACACACTTGCAAGAAGACAAAGCTCAGCACCATCTTCAGCCTGTTATTTATCATTATTATCTAATTCTAACCTTTTGTGCAAATGAACAGTTTCATGCCACTATTTTTTCGCTGCAGCTTGCAAATCGGGCTGGAATACCTGCAGGAGTGTATAATGTTGTTCCCTGTTCTAGACAACAGGCAGTAGCAGTTGGGGAAGTGATGTGCACTGATCC